CGGCGGCGGCGGCGTAGCCAAGACCAGCGCGGCCGAGCTGAAGGTCTTCAAGTCCGGCAGCATGGACAGCCGCGTCCCCGGCGGGCCGCCCACCTCCAACCTGCGCAAACAGAAGTCCCTCACCAATCTTTCGTTCCTCACCGATTCCGAGAAGAAGCTGCAGCTCTACGAGCCCGAGTGGAGCGACGACATGGCCAAGGCGCCCAAGGGTTTGAGCAAGATGGGGTGCAAGGGCCGCGAGGCGCCGCTCATGTCCAAGACCCTGTCCAAGTCCGAGCACTCGCTCTTCCAGGCCAAGGCTGGCCCGGCGGGCGGCGCCAAGACGCCCCTGGCCCCGCTGGCGCCCAGCCTGGGGAAACCCAGCCGCATCCCGCGGGGACCTTACGCCGAGGTCAAGCCGCTCAGCAAGGCGCCCGAGGCGGCCGTGAGCGACGATGGCAAATCCGACGACGAGCTGCTCTCCAGCAAGGCCAAGGCGCAGAAGGGCTCTGGCGGGCCCGTGCCCTCCGCCAAGGGGCAGGAGGAGCGGGCCTTCCTCAAGGTGGACCCTGAGCTAGTGGTCACCGTGCTGGGCGACCTGGAGCAGCTGCTCTTCAGCCAGATGCTGGGTAAGTCCTGCCGCCCCGCCCTACCCCACCCCTCCCCTGGCCTTCTCCTGGCCAGCTGTAGGGAGAAGAGGTGGAGGAAGGCGATGCTGCTGCCCCTTCCCCCTCTCGGTCAGGTTCTGCTGATCACTGGGCAGGTTAGGAGGGACACTGCCTCCAGATGTGCAGGGCTAGCCTATCCAGAGGCGCCTGGCCGAAGTGTGCCTTGAGATGTTTCCGCGAGGGAGCCCAGGCTCTCCGCCTGGTCGGCCTGAGGTGAGGCTGGACAATGGGTTGGGGGACTTAGGGTTTTCAGAAATAGAATCATTAACTCCCTCCAAGTCTAGGCAGAATGTGAGGCTGCTGGGGAGATCTGGGCTGTGGAAGCGATCTGCGCCGGACGAGACAGTATCTAGCGTGCTGTGGTCGAGTCAGTGAGAGCCTAGATCCAGAGCACAGATGTGGGGAGAACAGATGTGAGGGCCGGTTGGCTCTGGAGCAGAGCTGAGGCCCCACTTCCTCTGTGGATCCCGAGTGTGAGCTCCAGTCGGATTTCCCCAGTGTGAGGGATCTGGCAAAGAGAAGTAAAGCATCTGGAATCAGAGGTGACCGGGCAGCCAGCTGTGCGCATCTGGATGCCTGAGAAGCCATATTCCTCAGCCCCAGGTTCTGCCCCAGCCCCCTCCACCAGGGTCGTTTAGGGAAAGGTCTGGGCTTTTTTTTTTTTTTTTTTAATGTGGGAGACTTGGAAGACATTGCCCTTTGGCTAATGAAAGCCAAGCAAGCTGGGTAGAGAGAAACAAAGCTTGGAGAGGTGCTCCATTGTTCTCCGACCCTGAAGAGTCCATGCAAAAACCCTGCAGCACCCTGGGAACTGGTCTTGCTTTTTTCTAGAGCCCCCTGCCCTCAGAAAGAGATAAGTTGAAGATGTGCTGAACACAAACTGGGAGCTTCAGGAGCCCACAGGGTGGTGCTGGGGGCCTTGGGAGACCGGTGGAGAGGCCTGGAGTTTGGGCAAGCCACCTTGCCTAAGGACTTGTTGCAGTGACTGGGATGGGGATCCTCTGGCCCTGGCACTGAGGGACCCAAGCTTCCCAATACCCTGCATACTGCCTGCCCAGCAGGGGCTGGGAAGGGGTGTGTCATGTGTGTGAAGGGGGCGGGACCGAGTGATGAACAGACTGAGTGACCGCTTGGTAGAGCAGAGATGGATAGGCCAGTCACCCCTGGAGAGTACCCAGCTTGAAGGAGGCCCATTTGGCCTGCTTTGATCATTCTGGTGCCTCCTGCCTCCTCTGTAGGCCAGGATGAGAGTTCCATAAGCAGGAATGAGGAACCTGTCCTTGTGGAGGAGGCCACAGATGGGTTTTTGCAGAGGCAATTAGGTGCCTGGACAAGGGCAAAAGGGGAGAAGCAGCCTTGTCCCCCAGAGAGCCCCTTCTGAAAGCCATTATTGTCTGGGCAAAGTATGAATTGGGGGTGGAGTGTGTAGAAGGGATGAGCCCACCTTGAACTTGTCCGTTGAGCCTGTCAGAAGGTCTTGCTCTCAAGGAGCTTGCAGCCCAAATGGAGCCAGACAGATAATGAGGTGGAGGATAACTGATTTCAGGCAGGAAGGGAGGACTAAGGAGAACTGGAGCTGGATTGTGTGCTGCAGAGGAACTGGGTAGGGAGACTTGTGTTAGGCCTGTCTGCGGAGGTGGCTGTGGAATTGTGACTGAAGCTTGCAGCTGACTGAGAATGAGCATTGCCAGAGACTGAGAGGATGGTGGGAGAGGAGAGGACCTTGTGTGCCTTAGGCAGGAAAAAACAAGTGTGAGAAAGCAGAAGGACTGAGAGATCAGAGGGCACAGAACCATTTTCAAGGTCAGAGCTTATACCCTTTGGGGTGACCTAGCTGATCTGGGCCTTCTCACTCTGCAGATAGCCCCAGAATTGATTGCCAGTTATGGACCTCATAACTGCTTAGGGGTTCACCACAGGAACCCTGACAGGTAGTCCTAGGGCTGGCTGGAGGGTGGGGACAGGGGAGAGAGGCTGAGCTGTGCTTTCTTATTCCTGCTCTTGAACTTGTCATTTCTTCAAGCATACCTCCACCTATCTGGAGAAATAGAAGGTCCAAAGTATCATTTGCATGGATGAGTCCCCAGGCCCAAGACTCTTCTTTCCTAGGACACCTGGTTGAGAGAGGGTTGAGGCAGCAGTTGCAGAGGGGCACAGGTCACCAGAGCAGCCCTGGGAAGTCCCCAAAGGGCTGAGAGGCTTTGCTCTCAGGTGGAGGGGAGAGTGTGAAGTTTACCGGGTTCCCAGTTTGGTTCACTGGGCTATCTCCGGCTGAGAGACCAAAGGCCCTGGGAGGTCATACTTGGAACCAGATGACAGGAGAGGCTGGTGACTCTAGGCCCAGCTTTGCTCCTGTCTGAAGGCAGGGTAGAGTAGGTACTGGCAGGGTGGGGGTGAGGAGGACCTATGCCAAGGGCCTGTAAGGTGTGTCCAGGGTCAGGCAGGCCCTTGATGGAGACCAGTGTGGCCTCTGGGGAGAAGAATGCCTGCCCTGATGTGTCAGGATGGGAGCTACGACATGGTATTTGTTCCTTCCAAGAGACCAGAGCAGTTCCTGGTCCCATCCCAGACACAAGAAACTGCCAAGACCCAATTACTGAGGCAGTGGGTGGGGGAGACAAGGCAGTCCCAAATGAGAGCCTTCTGGTATAAAGGGAGAGAACTGAAACCTGATCCTCCCCTTCCCAGAAATCAGCTGGGGCCCAGATGGCCTAGGCAAGCTCCCTGTCCCTCTCCTCACCTTGGAAGCTGCCAAGTAACTAGGGTCTCCCTGGGGAATCCTAGAAACTTAGAAGACCAAGGGGGTGCGTCCCCAGGGGAAACAGGCCAATTCCAGGAATCGGATGGCTTTGCATTCTAGCCCCATAGTCCTCATCAGGCACTTTGGCTCCTGGAGGCAGATCACCAGGCCTGATCTGGGCCTGAGCAGGAAGCTGTGTTCCTGAGTTCCTGGCCCAGGAGTCCTAAGCTGCAGGTTCTCCTCTGAGGTTCAGGTTCCTTGAGAGAAAACACATCTTTACCCTGAAAGGCTAGAGGAAATGGGACTATCCCAGGTAGCTTAAAGACTTTATATTAACACAGAGCAGTTAACTAACATTCAAGCCCCACATTTTCTCCTCACCAAAGTCGGTCTATTGACTCCTCCAAACATCTAGATTTTTTTCCTTCAGTGTCCAGAAAAAGAGGACAGAATGGAGTAGTTAAGAGAACCCAAGGTCAGGGTCTGAAAGAACCCAGGAACTTGGACCAGTCCCACTTTTTCACAGTGGGTGCCTGACCATTGGGGGTGGGTGGTTATGCTGACAGACCCTCAGAAGCTCAGGCCACATAGAAATGAGGGAGAAAAGCAGGAGGCTGTCCACTTCCCTGGGTTGCTGTGGAGCCTTAAGGGTGTCAGGAAGAGGACCACTCCAGAGTAGGATGCTTTGAATAGGAGAGGATGAAATGCCAGCCCAGACTCCCCCCCCACACACTTCTTTTTTAAATTCAGTGTTCTTGGGAAGGGGAGGGGACAGTAGAGATATGCATTCTCCATAGAAGAATGGCTACCTAGAGCAGACAGGTACATGTGCAAGCTCACCCAACACCTGAGCATCAGAGGTTCCACCCAGCGCCAGGCCTGGCTCTTCCCAGGGCTCCTTAAGGCCTGACAGGAAAGTGTGAATGAAGCTTACTTCTGCTCTTTTCCTGGCAGCTGCAGTGGGGCTGGAGGAAGAGTGAGGCTGTGCAAATCATAGGCTCATGGGGTTCTGACAAGCAGGTGAACATGCATTACAGAGCAAAAGCTGCCTTGGAACTTCAGAGCCTGAGATCTATTACCTTCCGCAGGGTTAGCTCTGAGGACAGTATTTCTCCCTACTTCATTCAGATTGATTTGTTGCAAGGCCAGACTCCATCCCTTACCCAAGTAGTGGATGAGGGTCCACCCCTCTTTTCCTCTTCTCTGAGCCTTGCCTTGTTCAGATTGTTGCAGTGAAGCTGGCCTTCTCACAAGACAGCTTGGATCTTAGGGGTAGACCCTCTGTCTGGGCAGAAGGTACAGAGCACAAGTGCTGGAGAAGTTCTGTCCAGGGGAATGTCCTTGGCCCACTCCAGGCCACAGGCCCTTTCTAGACCTCAGTTGAAAGGACCAAGTCACCTGAGGTATTTCCTGACCCTTCTCTCTTTCCCCCCTTGCCAATGTGTTTCTGGGACTATAACTACCTGTTCCCTGCCCCAGGCTGCCAACATCAGGTTTTCCCTTCCCGATAGCGCTCCCTCCACACATGTATTCACCCCTCACAGCCTGTCACCCGAGGGCTTGGTGGTGCACATGCTTTGCTTCATGGAGCTTGGGAGCCTGGTTCTGTACTGGCCAGGCCAAGCAGAGACTCTGAGTCCACTCCTGCCACTCGGCACCCTGCTGTCGAGTCGCCTGTGTGGTTTGCTGCAGTGTCTCCCTGGGCAGCCAGCAAGGCAGATCAGCACCTCTGCAGAGCATTCTGCCTCCCTCAGCCTTCCCTGGAATTTCACAGAACCAAAGAGTGGAAGTTGTCTGGTTGAGCCACCCACTTAGAGCTGAAATTATTCCCTCTGTGGCATCCTAGGCAGGTGGGTGTTCTGTTTACACACTCCTAGTAACAGAGGGCTCACTACCTTTTTTCCCTATAAAGCAGTCATTATTGGAAAGATTCTGTCTTCTGAGAATTTCTATCCATGGCCCAAATTTGCTCCCTGATCCTGACAGATGGAGCTAGCTTGCCTTTCACAGAGTTCTTATATTTGAGGTCAGACACTCAGATACCTAGCAATCTCCATCTCATCTTTTCTTCCGTTGTCTTCTCCTTTCATTTTCTTAACATTTGTCTTGAAATGAAGACTAGATAATGCAGAGCCTGGCCTGCTCACCTGGCTCCCAAGCTCAGAGGATTCCATCCCCCTGGACCACAGTACTGCCTCCTCATCATGTTTGCATATGAGAG